TGTGGAAATAAAGAAAGAGGGCTCGAAAGGATCTGAGAACGAGATTTAACTATCTTCTAGAGTCGAATGGAGGATCCTTACACCCTCCCTGCTTGATGCGATGGCTATATCCATCGGTGAAAAAAAAGAGAAAATATCGTTGATTGAATAAGCGTTTACTGAGAAAAAGATATATGCATATCCGAAATGAGTAAATAAAGACAACAATAGAGAGAGGAAAATGTCAAATGAACTCAACCCCACGAAACAAAATTTTAAAGTACATTCGACACTTTACCGAAAAATCTGTCGCTTTTCTAATAAAAGACTGTAAGATCTTTACGTGTATATATTTCTTATCGAAGAAGAAACAATAAAATAGAAGCATTATAGAGACAAAATGGCGCAGTGTAATATGAAGTCTAGGTCAAGGTGGAAAATGAAAAATATCGGGAAAAAAATAACAACGGAAATATCAATATGACACAAAAAAAATGAAAGTATTTAAAAGGTACAAATACATTCAACTACGGAAACAATAACTGATCAGAGTGAGAGAGAGAGTTCATAGTTAGTTAATGGAATGCATCATGTCTAATTGTTCCATTAAACTGTGCCACTAATGCATCTGTTTTTAATCCAATAACAACACGATTGCGATGTTTATCTAGACGAAAATGTACATATGGAACTTGTAAATGACGTAATCTCCGTTTAACGTCCTGATGATGTAAATTGGTATTTAAATGACGAACAATAGTATGGTCTAATCGATGAGAACGCCGAAGCTGACATCTAATATAATTACGACGTTTTTTACTTGCAGCAGTACGATGTTGCGAATGTTTTTATTTAACTGGAGAAGATAATCGTTGTTGTGTTGTTGGTGGTTTTGATTGTATGCTAGGAGTTTCATCATCATCAGAAATATCTTCATAAACGAATCAAGGACATAAGATATAACAGCTAATGTTGTTGTTGAAATCGGAGGAGTACGTGGTGTTATTGTTATAATTCTTGATGATGAAGCCAGAATTGGTTGATGATCTCTCGTATATTATATTAATTTTGTGATTGATTGACAATCTTTACAAGCATAATCAACCAGATTTTCACGAAGTATTCGTTATTGATGAATATTATTTGTACGAGCAAGACCAACGAGTTTTGGATGTATATAAGTATGCAACAAGGGATCTAAGCCACATGTCCATCTTGATAATGTAAATGATTTGTCCAGAAAACGGTTCAAAATAACGGCAACAGCATTTTGAAGACTCCATGTTGCCTTTGGATTAACTGGATTTGTATGTAAATCAAATGTTTTTGCCACTTCACACTTGGGAGGATTACTTTCATCTAATTGAATTAATACTTGATTTAAATGATCAATGTGTTCTTTGTATGATTTTGAAAATATAATAATGTCGTCAAGATGGATCATTGAAAATTTTCTACAGGGTTCCAATAATTTTGACATTACATGTTGAAATGTGGGGGGAGAATTCTTTAAACCCTGTGCCAAAACGGTGAATTCATAAAAATCGAATAGAATCATAAATGCTGTTTTATGACGATCTCCTCACGAATTGGAATCTGAAAAAATCCAGATTCGAGATAATAGATTTGAGAAAAATATAAATAACCGCCTCTAAGACACTGAATAGTTTCTTTCACATTCGGAAGTGGACTGTTGTGCTTCTTTGTAATTGCACTCAGTTTCTTATAATCGACCATCAGTCTCCATTTGCCGTCTTTTTTAGCCGTTAGGAAACCTGGTGAAGCATAATTTGATGTTGAATGGCGAACGTGACCAGATTTGATTAAACCTTGTACGATTTTGTACATGTCGTCTTGTCTTTGTGGGAGCATTCGATGAATTCTTGATACTGGTGGAGGTTCAGGGAGAGTTTCACATGAGGAGCTCTTGTTTTTGCAACGGAAGAACGGCGTGGGGTGGGTTTGGCAAATGTGGACGCCCGATCAAATTTTGTGTACAAATTCAAAAGACTGCCAGACTTCAGATAAAAGTGCTGCAGATCATTGAGTGAACTGCATCGAATTCGTACGGATCCTCTTAGAAACTGTTACGAATTCGTAAACATGCGAATAAATCAAACACGATGCTGATCAATTCGCAAGTAATTCGTAAAATTTGTTTACGAATTCGTGTTCACTGCTTTTAGAACTAGATTAATTCGTAATACGAATTAGCGAATTCGCATTACAAACTATCTAGCAGTTGAAAATGGATCCACGAATTAATGTCAGGGACAAGACACATTTCTCCAGGTTAAGAATCGTCTCTTCACTTATAATGTGCTTGTTGCGTAAATACTCACAGCCATAATAATAAAATATGACATAAATGCGTAATAAATGTACGTCTCACTTGTGGTGATCTATTTCTTTCATTTTTATTTGCATTTCTTATTTTCAACGTATAGCTTTTATCATTATTGTGTGCTTTTTCTTTAATCCTTCTCACGTGCGATTGTACTACATCATAGTCTAAAAGCCGGAGAATGAGACTCTAGTAATGTTGGATGCTTCGTAGGATGAAACACACATTGATAAAATTGATCTAAGCTTTCAGATTACAAACAAAATAAACCACGTTATACTATTCTGACAGACCATGTTCAAATTCTAGATGTGCCTCAATAGCTGCAATTCATTTCTCTAATCACGACATACCAATGCGATGTCGCATAGACAGGCACATCGACTAAGACGACATCGAACTTGTAATGCACTTGATAACATAAGGAGATAAGTTTTTCCCTACCGCCAGCTAAAAACGTTTTGTGTACGCTGTTATCAGGCCCTGTGAATTTTCGTGAAAGTTCCTGTCATCTCCGTTATAGATCATTTCTCACTAACGTGTTAACTTTTTTCAAACTTAATTTGGATTTAAATTCTCTAGTGGGAACGTAACAATCCTTGTTAAAGCTGTACAACGGTTTCGACCTTGTCAGTGTTAAGTATTTTTTGTATTAACGCTGTTGTTAAAACATCCTTCATTGAATAAACTACATTCTGCATTAAAATCTGTTTCTCATCATTTCCTTTACACACAGATTTTAAAGTACAATCACATATGAAAAGAATCAAAGAAAAAGCACACAATGATGATAAAAGCTATACGTTGAAAATAAGAAATGCAAATAAAAATGAAAGAAATAGATCACCACAAGTGAGATGTACATTTATTGCGCATTTACAGTGGCTGTCAAAATTGTGCGATCACCTAATGAATTTTTTTTGTTTGTTTCGTATCTGAGAGACGAAAGTAGCTAAAGATCTACAACTTGTACCATGTTGTAGCCCGTCGTCTCTAGTATGTTTGTGGTTAGTCTTAGACCTAAGTTCCGTATTGTTCAATTTTTATTAAAATTAAAAAAAACATATCGAACTTCTCACGCCTCAAAATTGTGCGACCACCCCAACAAAAACGACTTTTCAATACAAGAACACTTTTTTTCGAAGCAATTAATATCTAGTTGGGTATCCCTTCATACGAATGACTTCATTCAATCGGTCTGGAACCGAATCGATTAACTTTTTCAACACTGTCACCTTGATTCCTTACTTGAGTAAGACACTCTTTCAAATCTTGTTCGTTCCTAGGCTGCTCTTTTTTCATTCTTCGTTCAGCTTCATCCCATAGGTGCTCTATGGGATTCATGTCAGGAGAAAAGGAAGGTCATTTGAGTCGTTCAACTCCCTTTCTGTTCAACCATTTCGTCACAATGCCAACTGTATGTTTCGGATCATTGTCTTGTTGAAAAACCCATCGATGATTCATGCCCAATTTCTTGACAGATTTTAGCAAGTTCTTTTCCAAAATGTCTCGATACACTTCGCCAGTCATTTTTCCATCAATGAAAACGAGATTTCCGATGCCAGACGATGAAAAACACCCCCAACACTTAACGTTCCTCCCTTCATGTTTCACAGTAGACACGGTACACTTCGGATCGAGTTCTTCTTTTGTTGTTCTCCAAACCATAACCTTCCCGTCCGAGCCAAATAGATTAAATTTACTTTCGTCTGACAAAATCACATCGTTCCAAAAGCTCAAAGACTTTTCTCAGTAACATCGGGCATATTCAAGTCGTTTGCCACGATTCGCCTTGTTGACGTATGGCTTTTTCGAGCAACACGACTATAAAAATCGACTTCATGTGGTCGTCGACGAATTGTGGATTCAGAAATAGCCATTTGAAGTTCAGTTTGAAGTTCAGCTTTGACAGATGAGGCTGATTTTCGCCGATTAGTTTTGATTTTACGTTGAATAAGACGATCAGCGTAGATTGTTGTTTTTCGTTTTCGACTTCAACCAATTATATTTCCAATACATTTTGATGATTTGTACTTTTCTATCATACGATGAACAGAAGTACGTGGAATTAATACTTTTCGAGCTATCTCGCGCTCGAAATCACCATTCAAGAAATGTTTAATAGCAGTTTCACGTAAATCATATGAATATTCGTTCTTATTCTTAGGAGTCATCGTTAAAAATGCTCTCTTGACACGCACTTCGCTAAATCAAACGGACCACACCAAGAAATAAGACATAGATGACGCTAGGACTCAATATGATACGAATTAACAACTATTTCTTGTATCTTCTCATCAATATCGGAGAAAAACAGTGTGTGGTCGCACAATTTTGAGGCGTGAGAAATTCGATATGTTTTTTTTAATTTTAATAAAAATTGAACGATATGGAACTTAGATCTAAGACTAACCACAAACATACTAGAGACGACGGGCTACAACATGGTACAAGTTGTAGATCTTTAGCTACTTTCGTCTCTCAGATACGAAACAAACAAAAAAAATTCATTAGGTGATCGCACAATTTTGACAGCCACTGTATGTCATATTTGTTGCTTGCAGTTATAGAAAAGCAAAAAAAACAAATACAGTCAGTAATTCATAGTAGTTCGATGTCATATTCTGTTGTGTGTCGAACGATACAGTTTCAAAATTTGAAGATTTGTTTGTGAAAAGTGTCAATATCTAGTTGTTTGTACTCAAGTTTTCGATAGGTAGATTTAAAGCATGGATAAATAAGAAAAAATGTATCATACCCTATTAGAGTGTGATATGCTACGTGAACTAATACTCAAATCGAGTATAAGTCCAAATTCTGACTCAGAACATTGCTACATAGTCAGATTCGCGATAAGAAAATAATCGTTTTCAATTTTTCCATGAATTTGGATGGAAAAAAAAGTGCTTGTGTTTGAATGACTGGTAATAAACATTATTCACAGTGCTTTTCTGAGAAGTACTACATGATCGCTGAGAAATTATGCACGTGTTGATAATCCTGGTGTAAATTATATTTGAGAGAAAGCCTGAAGGATAAAATACCTTTATTTTAGTTCCTTTTTCGACTGACAATGATGAAAACAATCGTTTTAATTGTATTTCGATTTTTGTTGTTAAGCAATTTTAGTAATGTTAATAGTAGTTCTTGTTCATCAGAACAAAATGGTGAACTATTTGAAAATACTAATGATATACATACATTTTATCAATGTTCAAATGGGAATATATATTTGTTAAGTTGCCCATTACCCCTTGTATGGTATCAACAATATCAAAGATGCGATCGGGGTGAATCAGAAGGTTAGTATATGTATCAATGTTCAACCAATGATGTCAATTAATTTGAATATTGAGTGTTAGCAACTGTTGAAATCGTTATAGAATCAATGTAAGGCGTAATGACAGAACAGAAACTCTTTCCCTGACGAAAAGTCCATTCTATAACAGAATATTCAAAACCAGACATTGTCCATAGAAACGCATAAAAGATATCGAGTTCAGTTACGTACAAAATATCATGACTTAGGATTGCAGGGAAAAAATATTAAATTTGATTGCACGTCCATCTACAGTGGGAGATGGTCTGAGAAACTCTGAAAGGAAACCATAGTTAAGGCTGAAACTTTAAGATAATTTCTATTCTGAGGTAGGCTACAATTTGTAATAACTTTGAGCAAAAAATCTGAGAAGATCATTCAACAGCCTCAGACGCACAATCTTTGTCGCCTCGTTCGTAGCACAGACAGTTTTAGTTTCAGTTTTATTTTAGGGGGGAAGCAGAAAAAGTTGGAGTTTGTAAGCATTGTTTCAAAAATCAATAGAAATAAAACATATACCAAAGAAGAAAAAAAGTAGTTCGTGTCTAAGGTCATAAAAAGAAAGACAAAAATTTTATTGCCTCTATTTTGATGTCAATCGATAGAGGACATCAAGGTGTATCTGTAAAAACTTCGGTCATGTTTTGACTGAGTTATTCAGCTTTGATCTGACCAATGGAATTTTGGAACAAAAAGTATTTTTAAAAGCACCTTGAACCAAATTTCGGTCGAAGAAAGCATTTTCATAAGGAAAAGTGTGGGTACAAAAGTTGTTCAGAATCAGATTCCCTGGAATATGAACGATGGATTTTTCAAAATTCGTTAAACTGATCTAGTCCCGTAAAGGTCTATCCTTGCTCCCTTATATTTTTAATATTTACTAATGATGTTCTCAGGCTTATTTTACCATCAGCTGTTTCTGTTTTATTTGCTAACAGCTGTACTCTTTCATCTCCTGTTACTAGTATTTATTCCTTAGCTTCTTGTCAGGCCAATATTGATCGTGCTGAAGAATTATGCAGTGCTGAAATCAGTCTGGTCCGGCCGGTTGGAATTATACCTCAAACCGGTGAAAAACCGGCGAAACCGGTAAAAAACTGGCGAAAAAATCGCGAAGTTTTTGAAAATCGATTTTCCGAAAGAATTTCCCCAGAAGTGAAATAGGTTGTGAGCACAAGTGAGCGAATCTGCGATAGTCTATAATATTTAATTTCAAATCAAGTGATGAAAATAATATCTGTCTTGAGCATCGTCTTATTTATTCTGACTGAAAAAGACTTGAAATCTTAGTTTTTTGACCAAAAACAGGGTCAAAAGAGCAAATTTTTCAAAAAGTTTCACCCGGTGAAATTTTAGTCTCTGCTGGTCCGATCGGACGGTTCCAGTCCCGGAATGATGGAGGTCACATTTAATGCCTATCAATACAAAAAAATGTAAGGAAACGCTGATTTTTAATTTTTCTGAGCAGGGTGACGTTCCTGAGTTTAATTTCGCAAGTGTTCCTATCCAACGAGTCGACAGTCTAAGTCCATTAGATGTTGCCATTCCTCCTAGTCTTCGTTAGGATGTACACGTTCACAAACTGGTTACTTCTTGTACACGTTATTTAGGTTCCTTACGCTATTTACGACAGCTTCTTCTCTTCCTTCTATTCTAGGCTAGCTTCTACTCATTGACTGGAATAGCCGCTGGCATGATTTTATCAAATTTTGATTCCAACGAAGGTGAACTTGTGCGAAGACTGAGAACCCAAGTTCTCCACTATCGAAATCTTCTATCATTCCTTAGTTTAGTTTAAACTTTATTTCTTTGAAACCATAACAACACGCCATAGAGTGACAAAGCACTCATTATTGGCACAACTTATTAATTGCAATACACAATCATAGTTCATGAAAGAGGACTAAAGAACAAATTGAATAAAAATTATAATAATAACTAGAAGCAGAAGAACCATTTAGTAGAAAAGATAATATGATGATAAAAATAGGACTACTCGATGTGGGAAGAAAGTGAGAAATGTTTAGCTGACTTATTGAAATCTTTTTGTGTTCAATAGAGAGATTCACACTCTTAAAGATCACTTTCTGTGTGTCCGTATCAAAAGTCAAATCATTTAGTAGTAAAATGTTTGTTGCCAACTTTTAAATGAAATTTAGTTTAAAAGAAAGTTCTTTACGGCACTGATCGTATAATGAACAGCGAAGAACGTAATGATCAGTTGATTCAGCTTCACATCCGCATGCACACATTAACGACTGAATGCATTTCCTCTTGTGTAAATAGTAATTGAGTTGAGGAAAGTTTCCTTTCAGACACATAAATATTACTTCTGCCTGTCTATTCAAAAATGTCAGTTGTTTAGAAAAGGCAATTGAGGATCGATTACCGAGTATTACCGAGTATACTTGTACTTTTACTTGTATACTTTCAACAAACACTTTGTAACAGAGTTAAAGTTAGATACTTTATTTCCGTATTTTAATCTAACTTTAACTCTATTATATATCTAGTCCGTATCGATCAATAGTTATACTCTCAAACACTTTGTACTTGTACTGTGAGCATATTTATTATCGTTAACGAGGGAACCTCGCCAGGTGTCCCGCTCTGTTTAAGCTCATATTTTGCTGATCGATAGGGCACATTACTGTAACAAAACGCCTAAAAAGATGTGGGCCCATATGGGCCCATGACGCTTCCTTCCCGAATTACGCAATCCTAACTTAGTGAAATTTCCGTTTTTGATATTTTCACTGTGTTCACTATTCGCATGCGTTAAAGAGCTGAAACTAGCAGCAATATTACTCCTAAGAAAAGCCCGTATGCTGCGAAATTTTCTGACTTTGGCTTTATGTCCTTTGTGAGAAATCTAATTTTCTACTTTTCATACGATTTCTGCACCGCTTTGCGACCTGAATATGAAAAAAACCTAATCGTATAATTCAATAGCGCAAACACTTAAACAGTACTCTGATAGGGATAATAAACGATTTTATCACTTATGAGTATCAAAGCAAACTTGAGAACGAAAGGACAATTATTTCATATTTTTTAATTAACGGTTGAAACGTGTTCAGTGGCTGCTAAAACGCGTTTGTGAAACAGTAACGCTTAGAAAGGCTGCAAGTTTTGACGCGTTTAAATGGGTTTACATTTTACGCGTTTAGCAGGACGATTTTACAATAAACTGACGCGTTCGGAAGAGTCAACTTGTGTTGCGTTTAAACGGGTTAGAAACGAACGCATCGAATCGCGTTGTAGATGTGAGTTGATGCATTTTTTCTAAGAAAGTACATAGCAGGTGTAAAATTTCTTTTTACAAAAGGCACTCCAGCAAAAATCTCAAAAGCAAAGTGCATTTCAAAAATTCAGAGTGCACGTACACTTTATTTCCGCTTAGTGCACTTATCATTAGAAACACTGAGGCTATGGCGAAGGTAAATCAAGTTTCGCACAAAGACTGAGATTTCTGTTCTGCTGCTCTTTCTGCCCTTTTACTCCCTAAAAAACAAATAAACGAAGACAATTAAGGCGAATTTCTAACAGATCTTCGGTAAATAAACAAACTCAACCTGCTTTCTTCTCTTTAAATAACTATGGAGGAGAAGTGAATAAATGAACAAACAAACCTTGTGTGTCGCTCATGACAAAGTTCATAAAAAGGGCTTTAAGCTTATAAAAATGTGCGTTCTAATAGATTAAGAAGCAAACACCATCGCTTCTAGGCTGATTAGAAATCAACGAATTACACTGTTGTGATGCGGTCCATGCTCCAGTCGTCTGTAGCTCAGACGGTTGTGTGTTTGCTTCTTAATTCTAGATACCCACGTTCGAATCAAACTCAAACCATGTAAGTAATATTTGTTTTCTAACATTCTTCACATGTTATAAACATTCTTGAGAGCAGTGAAAACTCTTTGAGTAAGCATGTAGACTCTCTAAAAAAATGTCAGACCAATCCATTTAAAAAATTAATTTTTTTTAAATTTACATTTTTAACGCGTTTAAGCTCATCAATTCGGCCAAAATTGATACGCATTAAAAATAAATGGACATTGACGCGTTTTTTGTAGCAGAAAAAGTTTGCCTGGGACCAATGTTGTACCCGTACAAGATCCCTGTTTATGGTGTTGGTAGACTCGAGTAGATCTGATTGATGATTTATCCATATCGCATCATCAGCAAACAGTTGTATTGTGCTTTCAATCTCCAATGGTAAATCATCTATATATGTATATAAGAAATAGCAAGGGTCCCAGAAGCGAACCTTGTGGGAAGCCTTTTGTAACTTTTAATGGCAGTGATACACAACCCTCTAATAATGTTTGAATCAGAAAGATAGTTTTTAATCCATTTCAATGCTTTACCTTTTATACCTTTTTTCGGGATTTTCTTCAACAATCCTTCATGATTCACCTTGTCAAATGCCTTCTGAAAATCTAGCAAAATAGCCCTCACAATCTTATCATCTCCCATTCCTTTGTGAATTTGATGAACCACACCAATCAATACGTTCGTCGTATTATCCTTGGCAACAAAACCAGATTGAAAAGCGGAAAACAGCTTATTCTTCGAATAGCCATCTAATTGTCGATGCATGATACGGTCACAAACCTTAGATACAGCAAAGATTAAGATGATTGGCCGATAATTGCTTGAATCAAGACTACCGCGTGACTTAATTAAAGCATTGATAAGTAGATGGATATAAAATCAAATTTAACATTTTTTTCCTGCAACCCTAGGTCATGATATTTTGTAAATAGCTGAAACTTATAAATAATTGAAACTTACCCTCACCCTTCTTCAGCGGCGTACATCTGTCTCTCTAATGTAGGGCCGCTGCCGTGTGATGTCAGGTTAAGCGAGAATTTAGAAATGCGCTCATTGTCATTACGAAAGGATCATGTCAACCAAGACATTTCTTAACTCCTGACTGTCCCTTCAATAAGGCTACGCTTGAATAGGTGAAAAAATTGTTCCTTCCGCAGCTGTTGACAATTACGCTGAATATCTCCCCTATTTGAGATTACAAGTAACGTCGTTATGCATAGATTACCGGCATCTAGTTGTTTGTTGCAGCTGCAGTAATGGTGGTTCCAGCTGGCACGCAACAAACTCTGTCAGCAACTAATATGGTGAAGAAGAGTGATGGTTTCGTCCATCCAGGTCTGTTGCATACCGAGGCCGATTTCGCGCGTATGAAAGCCAAAGTCGAAGCCCAAGAAACACCTTAGATCGAAGGATGGAGGAAACTGACTGCTGATCCGCGTTCGCAAGTTAACTGGAATCCACGTCCTACGGATAGGATTATTCGTGGAGGCCCTGGTACGAATATTGGCCAGTTTTATTTAGATGTTCATGCCGCTTATCAGTTGGCCGTGCGCTGGAAAGTGAGCGGCGACACTGCCTACGCTAATAAGTCCATCTCAATTCTTAATGCGTGGTCTTCCTTGCTCAAACACGTCGACGGTAATGCCGACCGGTTTCTAGCAGCCGGTATCTATGGCTACCAGTTCGCTAATGCGGCAGAAATCATGAGGACGTATTCGGATTGGGCACGAGAAGATTTTGCACGCTTCCAGAACATGATGCTCACCGTATTCTACCCGATGAATCACCACTTCTTAGTTAATCACAACGGCGCCGCTATCACCAATTACTGGGCAAACTGGGACTTGTGCAACATGGCGGCGATGGAAGCCATCGGCGTGCTATGCGACAGACGTGACATCTATGACGAGGCCATCAACTACTTCTACAAAGGCGGTGGTAACGGCGCAATGCACAAAGCAGTTTACTACATCCACAGCGGCAACTTGGGACAGTGGCAGGAATCCGGCCGTGACCAGGGACATAACACGTTGGGCATTGCGTTGATGGGTCCAATCTGCGAAATGGCCTGGAATCAGGGCGACGATTTGTATGGTTATTGGAACAGCCGGTTCTTGGCGGGCGCGGAATACGTGGCCAAATTCAATTTGGGATTCGGTGTCCCCTATCAGCCCTATATGTGGGGCGTCGGTCAAAATGGCCAATGGTCGATTCAGCCTCAAATTTCTGAAGCCCATAGAGGTCACACCCGTCCCGTGTGGGAGTTGGTTTATGGTCACTATACCGATCGCATGGGTATGGCGGCGCCATACACGGCTCAGTTTGTTGCACGAGTGCGGCCCGAAGGTGGTGCTTCTCCTTCCAATCCTTCCAGCTTCGATCAATTCGGCTTTGGCACTCTGACTTTCACCCGCGATCCAGTTGCGACACCAACAAAGCCGAGCTCGTTGATGGCGGCCAAAAGGGCCGACAAAGTGGTTCTCTCCTGGTGGGGTGCTGCGGGTGCAACGAGCTACAATGTGAAGCGCAGCACTAAAGTGGGTGGACCTTATATCACCATTGGAGTGAGCGACAACTTCACTTATACTGATACAGACCTGGCGCCGGGCAAATACTATTATGTGGTGACGGGCTTGGTGGAGTCGTACACGAATGAAACAGCACCCTCCAACGAAGCTGAAGTCTCTACCGCTCCTGAGTTGTACATATACCTGAAATTCGACGAGACGAGTGGTATGACAGCGGCAGATGCCACCGGTAGCGGGCACATCGGCACGTTTGTCAACGGTGCTACGTTCGTAGCTGGCAAGAGCGGCAACGCTATATCACTCGACGGAAGGAACAGTTACGTGTCCTTGTCTGAGGACGTAGTCTTTGATCTGACCGACTTCACCATCTCAGCGTGGGTATATCTCAATGATAACACCCGTCAGTGGCCGCGTATCTTCGATTTCGGCGGGAAGACGGGCACTTATATGTTTCTCACGCCTAAGGGCCCTAAAGGTACTCTCCGCTTCACTGTTGCCACCGTCTATACGTACAACGAGCAGGTGATTGACGCTACTGCTGTGTTTCCCACACGTCAATGGGTTCACATTGCTGTGACGTTGTCAGATAGAGTCGGCACGATCTATGTCAACGGAGTGGCCGTCGGCAGCAACCCCACGATTGATTTTCCGCCTTTTCAATTGGGAGCCACACCGAATAATTGGATCGGGCGATCGCAATTTGATAACGATCCCTATCTCAACAGTACAGTGGATGATTTCCGCATCTACAAGGGATCATTGAGTGCCAATGATGTGGCAGCTTTGGCCAAAGAATGACTTCTGACGATGTAACACTAAGAAGGTACACATCTAAATAATACGCTTTATTAAGCTGTCAACCGTTTGTGTGACAATTTCTCATCTGAATACATCTCCGGTGAGCACTCGCATAGAAGTGAGTGCTTTGTCATCCTCTAACGGTACAATATGAGTTATCGTATGTGATCCCTCCGTATGGTATCTACCATCCAAGTGACATTAGACAAAATTGTTCTGATGGATACAATAACTTAGTGATTGCCATGGTGATGAACACCATCCATTTCTTAGAAAAATTCATATAGAACAGTTCAAATTCTGTCATCCGTGAAAGGATAGAGATGAGTGCTACTTCTACAAAAGGGATATGACAAAAGAAGGCTATATAGGCGGAAGAAATACAATAATGAATAGTAATGCACCCCGCTATGCATCGAGAAAAATGGAATCCTCCTGTAAGAATAAGAACTTAAGGACAATAACCACTTCTCGATCGAGAAAGAGAAAAAGTCATATTTATATGAGTATGACTCATTTCTATCCTTTCACAGACGAGAAAATTCGAATTGTGCTATATGAATTTTTCTAAGGAATGCATTGTGTTCATCATTATGCCAATCCCTAATTTATTGTATTCAACAGAACAATTTTGCTCTGATATCACTCCGATGGTACACTAAGCAATTAATTGTTGGCACTCGAGAATAGTTAGCTGAGGGTGAATGTAAATATGTTTAGAGGGAATCCATGACAGTTGCTTTCCGAACACTTGCTTCTCTGACAATTGCTCCCTTGCAACAGTTGCTTCCCTGGCAGTTGCTCTCGCGACGCTTGGTCCTCAACGGCACCAGTTAGAACTCTTATTAATTACAAAAAGAACGTATAAATATATTGAATTTAGATGTAGACATCAACAATAGAATAATAGACCTCTTATTAATTAGAAAAACAACATATAATCAATCTTATAAATAACATACAAACCCATATTATGCGTTTTTTAATGCAACATTTGGTGCTAAAACCATGAGTTTTTCTAAATTCGTTGTTGTTGGTTCATTCAATATATGCAAAATACATGTTTTTTGGCGAACTTGCTATTTTCTTCCTGGTTGTCTGCCCCCGGCTTTTGCTTGAATAATTTCATTTTTGCCTTTTTTTAATTCTTTCGAAAATTTGGATGAGTACAACTTACTAATGATGAAAATCGATTATTCCACCCTTCAACTACATTATTTGTGCGACGTTCACCTTGAATTGTATTGTAATTTACATTCCATATCGTCGTGATAATCGACTTTTAACATCTGTATAATGTTCTTCGAAATACTTCAATACTGGCTCACCTTCAGCTGAAAATTGTGCTTTTAGTTCGTCAAATGTTGAAATAACATCAGAAATTGGTAATAATGCTGGTATGAATGAATTTGTTCTGCAAAATTTGAATCTTCACTATATAATGTTATTAAACCAAATCGTATAACAGCACGATAAATATAACAATACGAGCAAGCACTACTAATTGCAACAAAACCGTTGCCAAAAGAAAATTCGCATACAATAATTTCCCAATCTAATGTGAGTAGAATAATATCCTTGTTACAAACTAGCAACCATAGTAACAATGAAAAGATCGGCACCATGACACGCCATTATGTATAACAGAATGGTATTTCATCGTTTGTATATAAATAAGTATCACGGTTTGTATATTGAAATTGTTACAAAATTTCTTTTGTCAAGCCTTCTATTACCATGATATGTCTATATCCAGTTGAATAGAGAATTTGTTGAGCACGATATGAAGTAAATTTGAACGATTTGAAGGTACGGGTTGCATATGTTTAGTCTCTTATATATTTTCTTACTTGATTTATGACTTTGTAGAGACTACAACAAACTAATAATATTGATTTTCTACGGTTAAAGTTTAGAAAAACCTAACCCGTACTCGACAACTTTGTATCCGTATCCAACCTTTGGGTCCGCACGGGAACGGGTTGGATACGAGTCGGGTTGCACATCTCTAGTGCACGCTGTCGTACTCATTTATCTGAATTATGATTTGAAAATACATTTCACTTTTGAAAAAAAAGATCATACCGTGAACAACCTGTTGTCCTTCTTTGTGGTTCCATTCTATTATTCAGAATCAATATCTTGTAAGCATGCATCTCATACATCAGTCAGATGTGAATCAAGTTTTCTATTCAGTCATTTAAAATATACACTAAACACTAGACATTGTGGTTAGCGAATCCAGTGACTAACTACGTATTCAATGTATTTTAATCAATTGAGAGCTCGTTCCAGCAGCAACTACGTGATTCCTTTACTGTGCTCATTTTCTACACTCGGGGCAAAAAGTATTCGGACGGTTGGAGTTGTGATTACAACTTCGAAGGCATATGGATGATTCAAATTTTGGTTTCACGAGATGAAAGCTCTACTTTCAGTCTACACACTGCAAAAATTTCGTTTGATTTGGACGTAAGCTCTTAGAGATAAAAGCAAAACAAACTTTCGGTAAAGCGTCTTAAGTGCAAAAAAGTTTTCGAACGATTTTTGTGAAAGTTCTATGTCTATCCAGAAAACTGGTAAAGATTCGAGTAATACGTCATTTAAAATAGCACTAGGAGGGACTACGTTTTGAGAGAAAATAGTTTTCAAAAAGCACGTTTCCACCATAAGTTTAGTCGTATTTTTCCTAAACATACGTTGTCTCTTCTATATGAGGTTTTTAATATGAGAACTTAAATGTGAGATTAAATGAATGCACCGAAGTTGGAATTGTATTATAAATGTCTAAACATGTATGAAACGACGATGTTTCTCTGTGCGTCTGCTAGTGAACTGAGCTGACGACTACTGGAGTCACGCGGGGTTGAAAAGAAGCGATTGATTGTTGCTAGAGATATGAGAGTGACAGATATCATATAAAACACTTGGAGGAGAAATATGCCAATTTTTTACAACATCTTATAACCGACAGAAAATCGATTCAGAAGCAGCTGATGATGAGATAAGCATACTGCCGTACGTATATTATCTAAACAGATTTTTCTCTTTCTATTATTCGGCTCCTTCTAGCAGTTGCGTACACGAAAGTGAATATCGTTCATATAGCAGCCAACATCATCACTAGTGTTGAAATATCTTATTTCGATTGTTTCAGGTCATTAATATTTCGAAAAAGTTCAGCAGAAAGATTTTAACTTCAAAGACAGAAAGTTGGAAAGCGGAATTAAAAGGAGGTTTTCTGAAAATCTCCTACAAAACTTTGACTGCGAGCTACTGGTATCTCGCTAAACCCCTAAGTTTGTTCAGTTTTTAATTCTCTGTCCAACCACGTTTGAATCGAATCTCCATCTCTCAGCGGAGCTGATCTGCATTCATTTTGAAAAGGTTGAATTTTTTAAATTTTACATTAAGTTGAAATTTTGAGTTGAAGCCTTGATTTTTTTTGAAAATGTTCGCCTTTCGACGCTGAATCCGAATATGTTATTTAACATGTTCCGTCTCCTAACGGTAGTATTTAAAACACTTTTAATTCAACTAATGTAAATATATTGACATTCTTTGACTTTTTTACGTTTCTTATAAAACTAAGTAAGGTGCTTTAATATAATTGAAAAACATATTTGTAAAATCATTTTACATAAAAAGCGAGCTTTCGATACTTCACAGTATCATCATCAGGCTAATACGACTGTGAATTTAGAAGAGAGATGATTATATGTACTAGTTGAAACAAGGGAGAACGAACTAATGTAGTGCAAAAACCCCGGTTTTCTCGAAGCCCTACTTCCAAAGGTTTTGGAGAAAACTTTCTTGCAACAAAAAGAAAGAGGGTCTCGAGAAAGCCTTATGAACCCGAGGACAGCTTCAGACAGTAGTTGGGTTTGGAGATAGTTTTCTCGTGCAAGACGCCTACCCAGGACAATGATTATTACAGCGGTAAATGGCAGTATACTACAGTTTATGATGATGGATACTGCAGTATATGTCAAAATACGAGCTGTTTACGACGAAATACGATGACGTCTACCGCGGAGAAGGATTACGATGTCGTATTTTATCTGGAATGGATATGTATTTCGTCGTATTTCGACGTATACTATACTTTACAGCCGTAGAGCTTCGAGCTGAATACTAGTTGTCTTTTCTCGTTCTGGCTTCGTACAGCTTCCTGTTTTTCTTCTTCTTTTGCGCACACACACTCTTGATCAGGGAGCTAAAATGCAAATAAGCCACTGGAAATAAATCGCATCGTGTTTTTTGATGAGTACACGTAGCGTTTTTCTTTATATCAGCTCTTATCTTTTTTTCAATAACAAAGAAAAACGACACTTTTACCTTCTTGATTTCTTTCTTTTGCCAATGTAACTAGTGGAAGACAATATCTTAACTCTGTAGGGTGAAACATTATCTCGAAAAAGTAAAAATAATGGATCAAGGGTTACTCAACGTTATTCTTGTTGGATCCGCATTCATGATACTATTTTCAGCATTTCAATCAACGGGCATGGTTGAAGTAAGTAGAGCGCGATGTTTTTGAGTTACATGAATTAGTTGAAATGCTTTCACTGCGTTTGTCTTAGCAAAGTGTTTTGGAAGGGGTGAAAAATGAGACCACAGGAAATGGTACAGCCCGTTTTACAGCCACCGGTTATACCAGTTTTGCAATTATATACTCATCTTTTACTGTTGTTAATATCGTATCACCGGCTATAGTTTCAATTCTGGGACCGTCGTTATCAATGTTCATAGGTGCATCAACTTATTTGTAAGCAAAAGTTTCTATTCACGTCGTTCCATCTAAAAAATCATAAATATGTCTAGCTTCTATGTTCTATCATTTATTCAACCTATGACATGGTCCTTCTATTTGGCATCAGTATTGATTGGTGTGGGCGCTGCAAGTATGAAGAAAAAGAATTGTTTTCGATGTTCATTATTACCATAATTTCTTTCTTATTATAAAATAGTTCTTTGGACAGCGTTTGGCGTGTATTTAGCAGTTAACTCTGACGAACTTTCAACTTTACGTAATTCTGGTGTGTTTTGGGCTCTATTCCAACTGAGGAAAGTGTGCATTATTAGTTATTCTGAACTAATATACGATATTCTTTTTTTCTTTTGACTATAGTCAATTACCCGGCAATTTATACATTTATTTGGTCTTGAAATCCGATATTATTAATCGTCACACACGATATTTATTATTTACCGTATTTTCTGTTGTTTGTGGTATCGGTTTATTAGTATTCATATTACTTATTTGGCGTTCATTTGTTGAAAAACGACTATTACTAAATTCAGAGAAAGAAAAGAAGAAAAAGAAAATAATATTTCAAGATATTAAACAAGAATTACTGATTGCTTTGAAACTATTAAAAACGCCCAATATGCTTTTACTTTTAATACCATTTGCTTATTCAGGTTAGCGTATATCTCTGCAAGTACACTTTAGAATCAAATGTTTCACTTATTCAAATAGGTTTTTCTCAAACATTTGTTCTAACGATTTACGGCACTTGTATTGGTCACTATGTCAAATATGGTGATACACGAAAACGTTTAATTGGATTACACGGACTAGAGTACCATTTACTAAGGATGTAACTCATTGTTAGTATTCCATCAGTTTCTCTGATTTATTCGTATATCTTAGATGAAATTCTCCTACTACTTGGTTTAGGTGAAATAGTAGGTACTTCACATGATTGTCACTGATACTCATCCACATCTAGGAAATAATACTTTTTTGTGTTTATTTTTATAGGTAGTGGACTGTTTGGTTTTATTACAAAACCAAAAACATCATCGAGCTGTGCAGGGATAATATTTTTAAGTGCGTATATCATCTGTAAAACAGGCGTGTTGTATGGAGGACGACTGTGTTAAATCCAGATTTCATAAAGTTGGTGTCGCTTTTACACATAGGATGGCAAATAGTGGCTCCTTAAGAATTTTGAAAACAGCAAAGCACTTATCAATTCATAGAAGGTCTCAGCCCTTATAGCGCGTTAAGTTGAGTCCTCAAGTCTATCTGGCTGTGTCTCACTAGTGATCAACAATTCTGCATTTCTCTGTCGGGTTAGCTTGGGGTTGTCATGTCTGTAGGAACATATATCACTAAATCTGTGGGTCGGGTTAGATTGAGTCGTCGTGTCTGTCTAACTGTGTTCCACTAGTGATCAATAATTCTACAGCGCTAGGTCGGCTCAGTTTGGGTTTTTATGTCTATCTAGCTGCGTTTGGTGAGCGATTAACCCACATCAGTGGGTTGGATCAGATTGTTATGTCTGTGGTCAACATATGACTAAATCTGTGACTCGTGAATCGAATTAGGTTGAGTCGTCATGAGCTTTCTACAATAGGATTAAAAAGAAACTACGTGAGGCGGCTTCTTCGACGTTTAGAAGGTTAATCTTCGTACGAAAAAGCTTAATTTCGATATAAATGAAGGATCATATCGTCTAGAATATCTGCTGAAAAAATCCTGAAAAACTTTGTCTGTATGAATAGTTTTTGGAGGATTTTCTGGAAGCCTGTTTATAGGGGTGAATTCATTTTTCTGGTGTTTCGTACGGTATTCTTCATGGAAGACACAACTTTATATTCGAGAAAACCGGAGCATTCTTTGTGTCTCGTGCTTCATGCCATCCACGACCTATCATTTTAAACAGAAGTGGGAAAATATTCATGTACAGAAAAGCTATGTCTGATTCGATTGGGCGACAATACTTAAAAAGAACGTAACGGAAATTTCCACGTTAGGTAAAGTTTTCTCATTTCTACATCTCTCGGTCGGGTTAGGTCACGTTAAGTCGTGATATCTATCTAGCTGTGTCTCACTACTGGTCATCAGTTCTGCATCGCTCGCACAGTGTGCATCCAGCCGCACATTAGGTGAGAAACCGAAAGTCGCTTGTTATCGATTTTGAAATAGTGATAAATGTACTTCAAAACATAATCTATCTGACGGTATAAAAGAATTTGATACAAAACTTAACTAGTATGGACAAAAAGCTAATAAAAAATTAGCGATAAAATAATAGTATCTGTGAGACAATTAATTTTTCACAAAACTGAACCAAGTCATACACACATAATATATACTCTGAATCTGCACACTGTCTGCTATCTATCTGTGAAAATATTTCGGATCGATGATTTTTTAGAAAAAGAATAAAAGTTTTTTCTAGCCAAAAAACACGTCTACAACAAGTTCTAGCGAGTGTTTTTTCGAACGGCAATGTTTCGTAAAGCCAGTAAAAGTTAGCGAAAGTCGAAACTCCACAAAACTTTGCAAAAATTTTCTTCTACGTACCCTTTGCAATCCCTGTTAGCACAAAATAGAATAGAATAGAAAAATATTCTTGCACAGCACAGTACGATTTCCGAAAAACGCTCTGTAAGACACGCATGATAACCCAACCTGACCTGATCCGGAGATTTAGTGATATATGCTGACTACCGACATGACAACCCAACCTGACCCGACCCAGAGATTTGAATTTGAATTTTGAATTTTTTGAACTTTTGAATTTTATTCGATCGATCAGAGATTATGAGCATACACAAGTAGCAAAAAGCTAGTACAAGACACTAAACAGGACCTTGCGGTATGGCCATTCACACACACATTTAGGAATTTAGCGATATATGTTGACTACAGACATGACAACCCAACCTGACCTGACCCGAGATATAGAACTGATTACCACGAGTGAGACACACATGACAACTCAGTCTAATCGAACCCAGGGATATAGACTGTTAAAGTGACACACATGACACAACCCAACCTGATCCGACCCAGAGATATAGACCTGTCAGACAGTAGTGAGACACTACCAGACACACATGGCAGCCTAACCCTGTCCGACCAAGAGATGACGACCTACAGTCAAGACGACTCAACCGAACCTTACCTGACCAGCAGAAGTAGAATTCCTGATCAGTAGCCAGACACAGCAAGCACCATACGCAATAAGTAGAGGGCAGTTGACGGTACGTGACTTTTATCAAACACCTAAGGGGTTACTATTTGCCAGCCTCTCCTTTTACATGACCTCTTTCAGAATCACCTCTCAAAAAAAATTTAATTTATATTTATGGCTTTAAAACCATCTTTTCGTAGATAAAAAGTTTTTGGAAATACTCTTAAAAAACCAACTTTCTAGGGTGTATCTGGAAAACCGTTTCATAATCGGAAAATGTAACATAGAAATATATCTGTTTGTTTTCATGGGTTGATAGCCCAAAGTGTCCCAAAAAACGGTTTTCCTGGAACCCATAGTAATGTCTCTTTTAAAGCGAATTCTTTAGAAGGTTTTCTGAAAGACTCCCAAAAACATTATTTCAAAACAGCGGGTTTTTCATAGTTTTTTGCATCAAAAGTGGCAGAAAATGTCAAATTAAAGGCTGCCAAAGAGGATTTTCGATGAATGTTCAGCTCTTTCAAAGACCTTTCGTACATTTCCGATTATTTACAGAAACAAATGGGTTTTTGTATGTTTTTACCATAGTGAGGAACGAATATATCTCCAGATATCTTCACACACCCGTTGCATCAGTTGGTATCAAAGAAAACTATTCGATCGAGAATGACAATAGAGAAAAACTGCTTAACATCAACGTAATTGAATCACACTCATCGAAACTCTTCTTCTGATACCTTTAATTTGACGTTTTCTGCCAGATACCCTCTTACTCTATCGCAGCTGTTACTTTTGAGTCAGAAAACCTACGGAAAACCCGATTTTTTGAAATAATTTTTTTGTCAATCTTTCAGAAAACCATCTAAAGAACTCACATTCATGTACTTCACACTACGCTGAACCTCCTCCATCTATTTAGTTTTCAAGCTTTTTCAAGCCAAGTATTTGTTCTTGCTATTAGACATCTTTTAATCGGATTTACTAAACTTTTGAAAACGTTGAGTTTTTGACATTTAGACTTTAATTTAAAAGTCAACAAAGTATGAATAAAGGTTGATTGAGCGTTTCAACTGTAAAGAGAAGTAAACTTTGTCCCGCAACACGCTTATTTCAAGAAAATTTGATAACTATTTTTAATATTTAGGCTTTTTTTTACAAATTAATGTTTATTATACTGTATTTGTCAATTTTCCATTTGATTCACCTACTCAGGAAACAACGGCTATACCTTATCTTGATTTCAGGTAAAAAATATCAGTAAGTGTGACACAATTACTGTCTGTTAATTGAAATAGTGGACTCAATCGTCTTTTGAACACAGGGAGAGCGAAAAGAACTCCAGAGTTCCAGTTCTCGATAGTCGATTGTGGGGATTTAGACACCTCGTATCGTACGTAAAGCTTCTAAATCGTCTCGAAAGCAGAATTGTGAAAGGTTGTACATGTGATTTGAAAGTCGCTTCAAGCTGTCAAGCACCAGTCCTGGGCTCCTACGAGATCCGATACTAGTGGAAATACCTTCTTCGTGTTTTGAAAATTTCGCCCTTCAAACTTGATGAAAATTCAATTCCAAGGACATATTCAGATCTACTCGTCGAGCTCTATCGGGCCATATATGTTTCAAGCAAATCTAATTTTGTGTACCCCTTTCGAATTTCCGACACCTTAATAAAAGAATGTAGGTGACATACTGCGCAGGTTCCGCTTCCACTACTTTCAAACCGAAAACACAACGAAAAGATATTTATTTTGAACATGGTACTAGGCAACAAAGTAGAATCCAAACGCATGTAGTGGTGGCTCGAACTGTCATCTTTCTTTTCAAGTACCAAAGGTTGGCTCTGAATGTGTTTTTCTGATAACAAAAGACAATTTTGCTACAGTCTACCAAAGAAAGGAAAATTTCCACCTTTTCGCCTTGTCAGTAGAAAGGAAATGCAGCTATTCAACTTTCTCTATTCGGATGTAACAAAGGAATTTTTTTCTGCAAGGTAAGACATACCAGACCTCAAAATATTTGATTTTGGCCGGTTTGTAAAAATTTTCTCAAATGTCACCAAAACTGCAGTTTGAAAACGGTGATTTTTGATAAAATCGATATAATGCAATTATGTAGAGTTATAAATATATAGGGATGCACCGAGACGAGAAGTATCGAGAAGCCTCGATACTGTCTCGATAGTCTCGATAGTCTCGATAGTCTCGATAGTCTCGATAGTCTCGATAGTCTCGATAGTCTCGATAGTCTCGATAGTCTCGAGTCTCGAGTCTCGAAAAGAGAAAAGCTCTCTCGTCAGAAAAGCTAATAAGCTTCTCATGGCTCTCGCCGTTATTTTTTACAGTGCAGATGCAAGGCATGCTAAACTACTGCGCTGTTATAGTACGGAGACAGCCTATAGGACTACACATAATAAGTACAGACGAGAGCATTTTTCTCTTCCGCACGAAGACTGGCTCGAAAAAGAAATAAACATTCTTAAGCAACCAATTATAATAAAC